ATCACTCCAAACCACTTCTTGTTAGGTCGAAGTAGCCCTAACATTCCACCAGGAACCTTTCACGACTCAGATCTTTGCGCTAGAAAACGATGGAGACAAGCTCAAATTCTAGCTGACCACTACTGGAAGAGATGGTTACGAGAGTACGTGCCCAACCTGACTGAAAGACGGAAGTGGCAGACCCCTGCTTCCCGAACACTGAAACCTGACGACGTTGTTCTTGTAGTAGACGAAAATCTTCCTCGCGGACAGTGGAGACTGGGAAGAATAGTCGAGACATTTAAAGGCAAAGATGGTCAAGTTCGAAGCGCAGAAGTCAAGACCAAGTTTGGACAATACAAACGTCCCGCCGTGAAGCTTTGTTTAATACAAACTCACTGATGTGCGTGGCGCACAGGGGCGGGAATGTTCACGACGGAACTTTATTGCTATAGATTAATTGTTGACATTACTTATTGTAATTATTTCTATTCTTGTTTATCGTTTATGGGCTACCTGTGTTGTGCCCGGGACCACTCGGTCATGTGGGTATGTTGTAAACATGGCGGAATTAAAGAACATGTGAGTTGTATTTGGTTGTTCGATTCGTGGGTTTAATCCCGTCCTCGGGGCCATCCGACCCAAATCCTCAACAATCCGAAGAGCCGGCACATTAACTACTCAATTTGGTTTGCGTAGATTACTTTTAAGCAAATAACACTATTAGATTTCTATTTTACTATCTAGCACTAGCCACATGCAGTCCTAGACTGCCTATTTTTTACTTTATCCTAACAATGTCTCGTGTCTTGATTTTGCAGCAGCGCAAATAAATAAAGTTTCTTAACGCGTTTTATTTGCGTATTGTGTGGTTATTTTAGCCTTAGATGTGTCTTATTTTAGATTTAATTATTGTGTTTTTGTCGTTTTTGCGCCAGCAGCTCAAAGGAATAAAAACTCTGAAATCATTTTACTCGCGTTTTGTTGTTATTTTAGCTTTAGCTGTGGGTTTGATTTTTAAGCAAAGTATTCTGCTTGAAAAGTACGATACTATGTCATGCCTCACCAAATTCCTATGTCTTGTCTAACTAAGCACTAATCAATCCCTATTTGTCACTATCTATTTCACGGGCATATTATTTGCACACTATTGGAGATTGCTATAGATTACTGAATTTATTTACAGTTGACGAGCTTATTATTTACTTGTTAGAGTATTTAAAAGTTGCAGTTATACATAATATTATATTATTACATATAATTTTAGCCCATATTAAGCTCATATATTATTCTTATGATATATATGGAAAACAATAACAACTGTATCTCCCTATTAGAAATTAAGAACCTAATTAAGAACCTGCTTTGCCAAAATTACCAACAACTACCCCTTAAAACAAGAACCTTTTTTGACAGACTTTCAAAAAATAAGGTTCTTATTTTCAGGTGTTTACTGTATCTGCAAAAAAACAGCGGCGGATCAAGCACAGGAAATACTCGAGGGAATTTGCCTTGATTCATCACTTAACTAATCTACTATCGATAATGCAAACGATGCCTAAAAACGTACAATGTGCAAATTGATAAATCTGATCCGCCTCTGCTAAATGGTATAATTCGAACATATAGTGATGTTTTTGGCAGCTTACATGCTTATTTTATTATGAAAGGATCGTAACAAGCAAAAAACGAACAAAAATGCACAATCTCTGTCGTCTGCCGTCTTCGGCCATTTTGCTTGACTGTGTCCTTCAATTGTGGTCCTTGCCTAGGCGATAACTAAAAATACAACATTTGCATACTTTCGAATATAATCTAAGCGAAACGCGCTTTAAAGCGGCTTAATTTATGCAGTTCAGTTTCTACTCTATTTCCTTACATCTCTCTGATTGAACTTACGGTTATCAATAATTTTTTGACAAGATCCTTCGTTAAGTCTGACATCATCAACTGCTATATCGCCTTCATCACCGTCTATGGTTTCTGCTTCGATGACGAACTGAACACAATAAAAATAGTAATTTTTATCAACTTACGGATTATTCTTTTTCTGCTATCTATCATAAACTCTGAGCTTCACCGAAATGCTTTATGGATTCCTTTTCCAATAACCCCTAAGATGGATTCATCGGTCGTTAGGGCTTTTAGGGAAGAATCTTGGAAGCAGTTGAACAGTTCTTGCTTCCTCAACCCTTTAGAGTAAAGAGCATCAGAGGTATTTTCTTAGGTAGTGTGAGCTAGTACAACGAGTTGATCCAATTCTCAACTGAGAAGTGTCTGGCGTACGACCTCCATATGTATGGTTGTTCATGTACACGGTCGATGTACACACAAAAAAGCTCTCACGTCTCGATTTCGTGAATAAGAACTTAGAAAAAGGCTTAAAGGGCTACTTGGATGAAAAATGGCGATACACTGGAAAAGGCACGAAATTCTTGTAGAATATTCAAAAAGATCCCAGGAAGCAATGTGTTTTTGCAAGATATTGATACAATTTCTTAGGGATTTTGTGAAAAGTTTTTTGAGTATATGATGCCATATACTCCATCCTTTTGTTCTATCTTCGTTTGAGTCAAAAATCTTCTGCTTTGGAATGACCCCATAACAAAACTTTTCTCTGAGAAAGTATTATAGATCGATTTCACTCACGTGATCACTTCTTGGTTGGCCGCCATATTGGCGGACATATCATATTTCAAAATCACATGTAAATGTATGCAAGGTTACGCTACATTCGATAGTTTAGTCAGTTTTTCATGGATTTTAGCATAAATTCAACGTTCAAGATAGCTATAATACCCGCCTTAAACCATTACACCACTCACTATCCGATGAAAAAACAGGGAAGATAAAATGATTTTAAATGTTATGAATAAGTTCATTAGGATTAAAATGAATAGCAGACAGGGAATTTGAATAGCTTTTGTTTCAAATGCCGAAATGGGGATTGAAGAACAATAAATAGTGCTCAATGATGTAAATATGAAATCCTGCATGAAGGAGCAAGTATAATCAATACATTCCTATAGACTTTTAATATTTTTCGGCCCTTTTCTCCTCCCGAATAATTAATGAGGATTTGAAGTCGTTCCAAGTCCTCTAATTCGGACTGGACAGGATTTCAAGTCCTTGCATACTTGAAATCCCGTCCAGTCCTCATTGTCGGACTTGAAACATTACTTAAACCATAGGTATTGACCCCATGCTACTGAAGGGGAAAAGCTAATATTGTTTGTCATTGTATGAGCGAAATATGTTTTTTTGAATGATTTTCGTTTGTGGGAACAGATCTGATAGAGATTTCTTTTGTACGAGTACCCAAAGTAGTAACCAACCAAGACGAAGAAGCTCAAAAAGTATTGAGGAGAAAACTATGGATTAACGCAATAAGCCGAGCCGACCTCAAAGACTCTGTTTTGAAAGCTGTGTTTGCGGCAAACATTTTGTCTCATGACGGGCTGCATAACCTTGGGATCGTTACAATCCTTATTGAGCTCACTGCGCTTGGGACATAGCAAAAATATGCATGAAGAAAAGCTTGAAACCACGCATGAAGCTGCCTCAAAGCGCAAAGAAAGAGTGCAAGGACTCGACAAAGTTAGTGGAGGACTCAAAATGTAGCGATCAAAGAAATTCCATGTAAAATCGATGAACCTAGCACAGAAATCGAGGACATTAGTATTGAATCCTTTGACGAGAATAAGGCTCGTATATGTATAAACAAATCATTATTTGAAAAATGAATAAGCTTGATTTTCGACGGCTATTATTAGTGTTATATACTATCTTTCATTTAATGTGTGCTAAGTCTCATTTCATGTCTTTTAATTGTTTATCTTTCGGTGAGTATGCTTCTGCTTTTGTGAAATAACACACCAAATAACAGAATAACTGTTGATTCATCAGGCGAGAGACAGTCCGGATCATAGATTTTCCGCTTCGGTAGCATGGGGTCAATACCTATGGTTTAAACTTTCTTCAAATATCGCGTTGTTACGAATGAATCTAAACTTTTTTCATACTCAGGGAGTGGAATGGTCGTATAGCTATCTTGAACTGGCTTTGATTTCTTTGGATTCGTCGAATTTTGCTAAAATCCATGAAAAACTGACTAAACTATCGAATGTGGCGGAACATTGCATACATTTACATGTGATTTTGAAATATGATATGTCCGCCAATATGGCGGCTGAGATACGTGTGACGTCACGTGAAATCGATCTACAGGCATATATGAGTCATATATTTGAATTACGCAGGGTTCTGAAATAAGCGCTTCTTCGTGCAAGTAGCACTTTAAAATTAAAGTGAAAATAACTTTTATAGGACAAATATGAAGATTCGAACCAACGTTATCCATTGCCTGACCCTATATTTTCCTTAAAGTGCACATGACACCTTTTAGAAAAACACTTTTATCCGAAAGTTTACACGCTGCCAACTACTTCTGCGAAAAAAGAAATAGATGTTGAATTGTATTTTCTGAGTTATAGACATTTGAAAATTGAAAATGCAAATGAAGTGACGTCAACTAAGGAATTGATCCAGTCTTTTTACATTGTTTGCGCTATGCTGTTCTTGGTTGAAGAGCACAAATCATCAATCATAGTAATAATTGAGAGCTGAAAATGCTTTTTCCAATGCAACAAAAAGAATAACGTCCTCTTTCATGATTTTGTATATTAAATCATTCCTTAGTAGACGTCACTTCATTTGCATTTTCTAAGTTTTAATCGCCCATGACTTACAAAATACAATTTGAAATCAATTTCTTTCTTCACAGATGAACTTAGCAGTATATTCTCTTTTGGATGAGAGTGAATTTCTAATGGTGTCATGTGCACTTTAAACCTAACCATTACCGTAAGCAATGAGATCAATTCGCTCTTGAGGGAACCTGAACTATTGTGATATTTATGAACGGCATTCATGAATAACCACATAAGATTTAATATACAATTAACGAATTAACCTTCTATAGGGACATGAGAGCCTTCTATATGTACATCAGAGACATGCATATGGACATCCATATATGGAAGTCGTACGACCGACCCTTCTCTCCAAACCTCTTCCGATCCACAGCTCAAAACTATGTCTCCAAACAACTTGATGTATTGAAATTGTGTTTTAGAGTAAAGGCACTTATTCCATTAAAAACTCGTTTGTACTGTTTTGTGCAATATCAAGGACAGTCCTGTGGTATTTTCGTCGAATGGACGCGCTGGAGGAATATATCTACTAGATTGTGATTGAACTTAATGACTTTATTCAGCCGCAATTTTGCTACATGTGTCCAACAACAAAGGCATCCCAACAAATTACACAAATGATACAGGGAGCCCAAATACTGCAATACGCAAGCCCAAGCTAACAATTTGGACTATTATTGTTTTAAACAGTTTCACAGATTTAATTCTTCCTTCTCACCTTGTACTGATTTTGGCCATCGGGTTTTAACGGTGTTTGTCCAAATTGCCACTCGTCCTCTTGGTTGCCAAATTCTTCCCAAACAGTTATTTCAAATTGGTTGGTTTTCATTAATATCCTTAGTGTACCCATGCGTACTCCCCACATGTGATACCAGAACTGCAAACATAGCGTTTCTCCAGCACTTAGCCAATCGCTTTCGAGTCTTGCTTTATCTCCCTTTTTGCCTTTTGATGCATCAATATAAATGTAATCCCCTAAAAATAAGTATAAGATAATTATCACGACAAAACATTTTTTCAAGGTCTGCTCAGAAGGATAACAAGCTAAAGTAACTCCAAAAGATTTCTTTCCAAGCGTATGCGTGGTATTGCCGCCGCCTCAAAATCATAATTAGCTAGACCACGAGGAAAACAGAATTGCGGACGAAATCACTAAACCAAATGATGAGAAGAATGCTTTGAAAAATAATTTTAGTCTGACAATATAAAACCGATAAAACCGTAAGATCGCTAAAAAAGATATTGATCATCGAGAGAAAAACATGATTGGCGAGTGTGAGCTTTTGATTTGTCGACAGATCTGGCTGGTTGTATCTGAATAAGTGCAGAATCAAATTGGAAAATGTAAAGAATCTTAGACGCCTCTATGCTACATTATTACACGAGGGTAAGAACTTGGGTTTAGATTGCCTACCGTCCTTTTTGTTACATCTGGTATGGTCAGATTGTGGTCCAGTACCATCTGAACTCGTCTTTCCAGAATTTCTGATCCATTTAAGTTGGTAATTCTTGCTATGGCTTAAACCACAAAAGCCACTTTCAAATGAGCACAAAGCTGAAAATATTTTGTACAAATAGTCATCACAACAACAAAAACAAAAGAATAAACGATTGTTGATTCATCGATACTCACAAAAGTCTCTGCAATAAGCTTTTTCGTCCGTCGCGTCTACTTTACTTTCGTTGAGTGAGCATTCAAGATCGTTTAAAGGGCAATTACCTTATGAAAGAAACAATAAGAATACAGGAATTAATATGACACATAAATATTCAAAAGCGCTTTTCAATCAATAGAAAAAGAACATGATTAAAAAAAAAACACACTAAAAAAGTGATAAAATGTGGTAAATACAACTCTGCTTTCGAATGTCAACCGACTACAGTGATAACGAGGAAATATTTAACATCCACGGATTAATAATTTGACCCCGTCCAGTCAAACGTTGTCACATCCAAAAACTGGTTCGAAATGGTTCATACTTTTTATCACTTCAAGAGGTAAGACCAGTTCATCGTAAAGGTGCGTTTAGCAGTATGTTTACAAAGACACTGGGGTGTTTGCTTCTTTCTTTATTCAAAGACTCGTTGTTCAACTCTCTCCTTCTATTTTTTACTACAAATCTGTTCGGCTGTGATAAAAACAGACACTGCTTTGGTTTTAACTGAGGTATTAAAATTTACCCCACACGAATTTGCAGCCAATCCCTTCCTTTTCTGTGATTAGAACATTCTTGAAACGGTTTGGTTTTGTCTGGTTTTGAAACATCCCGTGAGAGATGTGCCTCTGACCGATGGCACCACATATAGCTCTCCAATATAACAAATATAACTACAAATACTTTTTACTTCTACTTTGCCATTTTTCATGATTTATGCTATTTGCCAGGAATGGTTGGACGCGTGAACTTACGGCAACTCCCGATCATGGCCGATCTCCGCTCTATGCACGGCCACCCACACCTAGCTTTGGCCTTCCCTAATCCACTTAATGTTTATTTTGCTATAGTTTAAAGTCCTATACTAAAGCGCCGTTTACACGAGCAATTTTTCCTTAACAAGTTTTCCTTGACAATTCCTCCGAGGAGTCCTTGACAATGTTTCTTTGCTCGTGTAGACGAAGAACAAGTTTTCCTTGACTAGGAAAAATTACTCGTGTGAATGGTCAACAAGTTTTCCTTGACAATTTTTCCTTGCCACATTTTCCTTGGCAAGGAAAAGCGAACCTGTTGGCTTTTCCTTGACAAGGAAAGATTGTCCATTTGATCCCATTTACACGAGCAATTTTTCCTTGTCAAGGAAAAATTGGTTGTGCAAACGGCGCTTAAATGTCAGAATAACGTCTCGTAACAAAGGAAGCATTTTGATACTGTTGTGTAGTCGTTGAACTAGAACTCTTTAATTAACAAATCGGTCTTACTAAATACACTTAGCGTTCCCTTGAGAGGGAACACAGTACTTTTACAAACAATACGATGATATAAGAGTTACATCACAGTCATTGGTATCAAGGTACAACAAGCACATTAATCCCATCTAAACAATTTACTACACCACCCTCCCCCTTGATTTATAAGTTGTCCACCCCGGACTGAAAAATTAAGTTTTTTTTCCAATGTTTTTTTTCTTTTGTCTTCATCTGTTTCTCTTCTTTGTCTTCATCTGTTTCTTCTCTTTGTCTTCATCTGTTTCTTTTCTTTGTCTTCATCTGTTTCTCTTCTTTGTATTCATCTGTTTCTTCTCTTTTTATTCATCTGTTTTTCTTTTTTTTGGTTTTCTGCTATTAGCACTTGGCAAAACAAAAAAATGGTCGAACCCAACAAGAATTTATCGCGCCCAATTATTGTCGGGGTAGTTGGCTAGTCGTATATACATGAAAATCATTAAGCCAGCTGGGCAGTTTTGTAGCTCTCTTTCCGGGTACCCGTGGGTTCGTTCCAATGGTATTGCTAATGCAATTCTCAACAATACAATCCTCCTCTCCAGTGGTATGCTGGCTAGGTACACTTGTAGACCTCTGTAGAGGTTTGTGCGTGCGATACTCCTCTTATCGCCTGTAMAATTATCTTTTGTAGTTTCACCAGTAGTTTGCTTGTCTCCAGTAGTTTTATCAGACATCATCTTGAACCATTCTGGCGGCTCCCCGTTAAACTTGCAAAGGCGGTCTTTGTGCACAATGCGTGGTTTTGCTCTCGGTGACCTTTGGATCTCGAAGATGAGGTCATTAATTTTCCTCCGTACCAAATAGGAACCGTCCCAGTTGCTCTGGAATTTCGGTGTAATCCCTTTTCTTCTCTGTGRCAGGCAGTATCTTACAGCATCTCCTACGTGGTACGTGTCGGCCGTAGAGTCAACGTCATRTCTCCTCTTCATTCTATCACTGGAAATCCTTAGCTTCGCTCTGGTGAAATCATTTACCTCCGCAAGGCAGTCTTCCAACTTCGCTACATAATCATCATAGGTTTCATTCATCTGTGGTGAATCCTTTGGGCGGCCAAATATAATGTCAACCGGTAGTCGTGGTTCCCTACCGAACATCACTACTGCTGGACTAAATCCAGTAGATTGGTGAGTGGCGGTTCGATAAGCCATCATTAGGTACGGCACGTGCCTGTCCCAATCTTTTTGGTGCTCCTCCACATATTTGGCTAGCTGGTCTTCTATGGTTCTGTTGAAGCGCTCCACCATTCCGTCGGATTGAGGCCGATAAGGTGTAGTTCGAGTCTTCTTAATTCCTAGTAGTCTGCATACTTCCGCAAAAAGTTTGGATTCGAAATTCCTTCCTTGATCTGAATGTATTGACTCTGGTACTCCAAATCTGGTTATCACTTGTGTTACCAATGCATCGGCCACTGTCTTCGCCTCCTGATTGGGGACAGGTATTGCCTCTGTCCACTTGGTGAAATAATCTCCGATGACYAATAAGTACTTGTTTCCACTGTCGCTGACCGGTAGAGGTCCTAAGATGTCAATGGCTAGCCTCTCCATTGGTGCCCCGCTGATATACTGCTTAAGTGGCGCCCTGGTCCTATTCTTCGGCCCTTTCCTTTTTGTACATGGTTCACAACGCTTGCACCACTTTTCGACGTCTTTCGTATAGTTCACCCAGTAGAAACGTGTCTTTAGTATTGCCAGAGTTTTTGTTATACCCAGGTGGCCCGATGTCGGTTCATCATGCATTTCTCTCAGAACAACGTCACGAAGGTTAACAGGCACCACCAGCTGTAGCAGTGGCATCAGCTGCCCGGTTAACTCGAAGTTGCGGTAGATTACCCCATCCTTAAGCTTTAAACTGTCCCACTGCGGCCAGTAGGCTTTTACTTCCGGACTGTATGGTGCTACTTCGGTCCATGATGGTTTTTGTCCATTCTCCAGCCACTTCATTATGTGTCGAAGTGATGAATCTTTGAGTTGTGCCTCTCGCAGCTCAACTGGTGACCAGCACGTTCCTCTGCTGTCCTGCGTAGACTCGTTACTTTTATCATTCTTGCTTCTTTGTGTTAGTGAGACATTCTTGTTCTGATGGCCCTTCATTCCACATTTTTCATTGATTAAACCTTCCTCCACTTCCCTTCTTTCGCAGTACTTGCAGATCACACCTGCACATGGTCGCCTCGAGAGCGCGTCAGCGTTGCCGTGTTTTAGACCACTTCGATGGACAATAGTAAAGTTGTACTGTTGGAGCTTTTCTAKCCATCGAGCAATCTGGTCCTTTGGATTCTTGAAATTAAGAAGCCACTGTAGCGCAGAGTAGTCAGTTCTCAGGAGGAATTCTCTGCCATATAAGTAAGCATTAAAATGCTCTGTGGCGTTGACAATTGCTAATAACTCTCTTCTGGTTGCACAATAGTTTGATTCTTCATTGACGATGACGACTTAATTAGATTATTACGGGTTCTCCTGATACAATCTACAAATTACAAAATATAAATATAACTTTAACCTTACATAAATTACAAACTATAAATCATAATGTTCTAGTCACTGAATACAAACACGAAGAAATACACTCTTCAGAGATGTCTTGAGTTACTTCACATATTAGTACTAGCAATAACAGGAGACCATTACTAGAAGTCTTCCTCTTCGTCATAAGCTCTTGGAACGGCTTAAAAACATTTTGCACAGTATTGCCTCAAACTTGATAACAGAAAACGGCGTTGTGAGGATGTCAACAACGCAAATCTAATGAGATTGTGGACGAAAGCCAAGCAAAAAAGACAAAGGAATCAACAAAATGGGAAGTTTCTGTCTTAAAAGGTTCGTATCCCGGATTAATATTGTACAATTGAAATCCTTTTCATTGACGGATAATCTCAACAAGTTTAATGTCGCGAAAATGACCTTGCACCATGTACAGTTTGCATAACTTCCTTAAAATATACTATTGCTTGAGGTAGAACTAACTTATCGACCCTGATGGCAGGTATATTATATGTGACTTTAAAACAAATGACAAAGAGGACTGGGACTAGGTTGTCATGGAGTATAGATGTCTTCTTTAGAGCTCCATAAAATCCCGTTGTCACTGCCCTTCTCTTTAGACAATGTTTGGTGCAAAAAAAAATATTTATAACCAGCTATGACTAGAGGAGCTAGAAAACCTAAAAAGCCAGATACTGAAGCTGACGAAAGTCTCAGCGACAAACACGAACAAGAGCAAAATGAACATGAACAACATGGCGCTGAGAACGTCGACCAATTTACAGAACTAAAAGCTATGGTAACCAGCGGTTTTAGTAACGTTAACTCAAAACTTGACAGTTTCCAAAAAGAGCTGAAAAACGAAGTGARAGAACTAAAAGAAACCATTAAGGGCATCGAACAAAGTCTTGATACCACAAGCAAAGACCTAAACCACCTAAGAGTATACTGTAAAAAATGCCTGGTTACGATGACCAATAAAAATGGTCGTAACCAAACAGTATTGGTTGTTTTGACCAAAAGTATTTGGTTGAAACGAGTTGACCAATTTCACTTCTGGTCACTGTAACCATTTCTATTGGTTGTTTGTGTAACCAAAGTCAATTATCAAATAAATCTTTGCGTGTCCAGAAAACGCGTTTTTTCACTCTAACAAAATTTCTTCGCCTTTCAAAAGCATTTGATAACAAAAAAACATCCTATCTAAATTGGTTGCAATGACCAATTTTGAATAGGTTATTCTATAACTTTTTTTCAGCACTTTTGGTCGGCATAACTATTAGAAAATTGGTTATAAAAATCAATAGATAGTTTTAACA